TGACAGCATCATCTTCCCCTCAGTAAATGTTTTTCTATGTAGTTTCTAAATTGTGACCCATGAATGGGTTATAAAATCAATGCAGGGAGTCGTGATGAGCATTAAAAAGCAACAATGGAATAGAAAATATCAGAGTGCACTACACATGGTAAGACTAAATCTATAAGGCCCTGCATGGTGCTGAGGCTTGGGCAGTGGGAAGGGTTTGGAGCGGTTGGGGTTGCCAGGGGGCAACATTTGATCCTTGATGTTGTCTCTCAAAGGCAACATCTGTTAAACATCCATCACACCATGTTCTAGATTGAATTGTGTCCCCCAAAAAGATATGTTTAACGTATGATTAAATCTTAATTCCTGGTACCTGTGAATGTGACCTGATCTGGAGATAGGGTCTTTGCAGTCATAGTCAAGTTAAGATGAAGTCATACTGGATTAGGATGTGCCCCAAAACCAATGACTCGTGTCCTTATGAGAAGGAGATTTGAAGACAAAGGAGAAACAAGGAAGAAGGCCATGTGAAAATGGATGCATCTACAAGTCCAATGATGCTGAGGTTTGCTAGCAAGCACTGGGAGCTAGAGAGAGAGGCTTGGAGCAGATCCTTTCCTACGGGCTTTCGAGGGTGAACGGCCTGCCCACACCTTGATTTTGGACTTCTGGCATGAGAGAATAAGTTTCTGTTGTTTTAAGCCACCTAGTTCATGGTATTTTCTTATGGCATCCCGCAGAAAGTAGTCTACCCATAATCCATATGGCCGCTTCAGGCCTCTGCTGGTTCCATGCCTTGCTAGGGAGGGCATCTTCCTGGTTCCCTGTGGCTCCATGTACATTCACTATACAGGGACTCACTGTGTCTCTTCTCCCCTTTGTGTTTTACTTCACTTTGGGAAAGTTATTTAAAAAATAATATTCTGCCACATAATTAACACACTTTTCTATCGTCTATGATTTACCTATTTCCTGAGGAGAGAGATTTTGTGTTTTTGAGTTCTTATCTGTAATGCCCAACCCTCATGTGTATTTAATGCCTGAGTCTGGTTGACAATGTGTCTGAAGGAGGGAATAATGAACAAAGGTTCTCAAACATCTGTGTCAACACCCTGTGCAATACCAGCATTTCTGGCAACACACTTAAAGGAATTAAAACTTAAAAAGTTGTTTAAATAAACACATTGGAAAAACTGAGAAAAATAACGTTTATTGTTATAACACTAATCATTTGCTGCCATTCAGGAATGTAACTAGGGCTGTTTACTGCCCTGGCCATGTTTTTAAAATTTATTTATGAGGTAAATTTCTGACAATTTTAATGATCACATACCATGAGATCACAAACACACTCAAACTACAGTCAGATGTGCAAAGAGAATGTAGATACTTTATTTTTCAATAGTTATCTGATCTTCTTCACAAGCTTTCCCCCATTAGATACTGGAAGAAAAAAATAGCTATATTTTAATCTTGTGTTTAAATAGTCTCTTTACATAAATTGGCCTCTGTTTAGAGGACTCAAATAAAATGCTCAGTTTTTTGAAATTTCTTCTCTATGACTATTGTATTAGCTTTCAAGAAGGTTGTGGTAACAACATGCTCCAAACTGGGTAGCTTCAAACAGACATTTATTGTCTCACAGTTCTGAAGGCTAGAAGTCTAAAATTAAGGTGTTGGAAGGTCTTGTTCCCTCTGAAACTTGTAGTGAATGCTTCCTTGCTTCTTCCTAGGATCTCGTGGTTTGCTAGCAATCTTCGTTGGTCCTCAGCTTGCAGCTGCATAACTGTCATCTCTGCCTTTGTCATGACATTGGCATGAATGACATTCTCCCAGTGTGTCTCTGACATCACGTGATCACATGCTTGTTTTTTTTTTTTTTTTTTGAGATGGAGTCTCACTCTGTGCCCAGGCTAGAGTGCAGTGGCATGATCTCGGCTCACTGCAACCTCCGCCTCCCATGTTCAAGTGATTCTCCTGCCTCAGCCTCCTGAGTAACTGGGACTATAGGCATGCACCACCACACCCGGATAATTTTTGTATTTTTGGTAGAGACGGGGTTTCACCATGTTGGCCAGGATGGTCTTGATCTCTTGACCTCGTGATTCGCCTGCCTTGGCTTCCCAAAGTGCTGGATTATAGGCATAAGCCACTGCGCCTGGCCAACCACATGCTTTTAAAGACACCAGTCACATTAGAATAGGTGCCCAGTGTACTCCAGTATGACCTCATCTTAATTAATCATGTCTACAACAAACTTGTTTCCAAATAACATCATATTCCAAGGTGCTAGGGGCTAGGACTACAACATTAAGTTTTTTGGGAGACAAAATTCAAACTAGGACCACCTATCTTTTCTTTAAGATGGCTTTGAGGTACATAAAGGAGAGTAATGACTTACCTGACCATGGGTCTCTGGTTTTTGCTGGTCTCTGCTGAGGGGTGGGTATTCTGAGTTGTTTTTAGGAGTGATAGCTGAAGTGTACAATTCATTCTATTCTTGTTCTAATCATGTCCACTGCCAAAATGTGATACTGGCATACGCGTAATCCATTCTCTCTCTGCTTGGTCAATTCTCAACTGACTACTTAGTTTTCCTTTCGAAGCATGTGGGAAATTTGCAGTCCAATTTCTCAATCCCATCCCCACCATCAGAGACTGAGGTCTCTCAGGAGAGCTGAATTCTGGCTTTCCCTCTGTCTAAACATGACGAGCCATTAAGATTTCTTTACTGTAGCCACTCCTACATAAGGGGTGGCATTCTCTCACTGTATCTCTGTTTTCACATGACCAGGTACTTATAAGGATACTAGTCACATTGGATTAATGTAATCCCATAAGCAGCCTCTTCCCAGAGGCATAAATAGGAAGCAGAGTAAAAACCTTTCTGCTTTTGAGCTCTTCCATACCTAACTGTGGGTTTCTGCTTCCCACACCATCTACTTCCACAAGATTGGCCTGAGATGAGGTAAGAGGAAGAAAATAGTAATAAAGGACTGTGACATCTGCCTTCCTTTTCTACCTCTGTCTTCCATCTTCTTCCCACAATCTCTTGTGCTAAAAGGAGTAGGCCTTTTTTTTTTTTCTCTCTGTGTCAAACTGACCTTATACATCAGGCAATAAACCTTCTTGCCAGATCATGGTGGAAGAAAAGGTATGACCTTTTCAATTTGAAATAAACTATGATGTGAGTCTTCTAGAAATGGGTTTCCATGTGAGAACCTGAAGATGTCTTTGAATTAGGAATAACCAAAGACAACCAAATATACTGGTTTAATATCACAGAAAATATTATCTTACTCACATGCTAAAGGCTTGGATTATCGTGTATTAAGAGAATAGGCTTTGGAGTGAGACTACCTGAGTTTAAATCCCAGTTCATCACTCACTGTTTGAAACTGGCAAAGTTACTTAGTCTTTATGAGTCACTGTTTCCTGTTCTTGAAAATAGGAATAATAACAATCACTCATTTGAGACTTATTGTGAAGATTCAAAGAAGTAACAAAATTTTCCAAGAGCACCTGACACATAATGACTGCTCAGTAAATGTTGGCCAGTGTTTCTAGTAGTATTTATTTTGTATTACCTACTTTGATATTATGCGATGCCTTTTTCCTTTTTACTCCCAGAAAATTGTAGCCCTCTTTCTGTGGCATTTTTTTTGACAAGCCATTGCCTGTCACACAACAGCATGTATCCTCATTTTTTTTTTTTTTTTTTGCGACGGAGTCTCTCTCTGTCGCCCAGGCTGTAGTGCAGTGGTGCAATCTCAACTCACTGCAAGCTCCGCCTCCCGGGTTCACGCCATTCTCCTGACTCAGCCTCCCAAGTACTTGGGAGTACAGGTGCTTGCCACCATGCCTGGCTGATTGTATCCTCAGTTTTAATACCAATACATTTCATACTTCAACCGCAAATTGCTAATGTATCCCTGGGAAGGTTTGCCGCCCATCAGCATGTGGTGGAGATCTGATTCAAATCCACTGATCCAGGGCTGAATGACTCCATGTCCAAAGATAGTCATCAACTTTGTAAACTAAAGGGGACAAGTGAGTCACCTCTTAGATGCTAGTACAGACATCATTTACTTATTTTTGTTGTTGCTTTATTAAGTAGTGCTTTTCTTTGTATTCTGAGTATATAGAAAAGATGACATTGTAGGGCAGTTTTCATCCGTCTATGTGATATATGTATCAATTTAAAATAAATATGATAGAAAACCTTATGAAATAAATCTTATCCTTCCTGGTGGAAAGAGGATACTTTGCTGTCTGATTTTTAATTCACACTGCTATATGGAAACCACCCTGATGATTTATTGATTTGGAGAGTAAGAGCTCAACGGAAAGGGAAATTTCTACAAAGACAAAAGACTGCCATAACCAACTTTGTATTAGCTTATTACTTTTGACAAACGACTCCTACTTTATGGGTAATATTCCATGGGACTCTACCTAGCAAACATCCTTGTAGAATGATTTGAAGAACGGTAGATGCTAATTCACGAGATCTCTCCATCTACCTTTGTGCTATTAAATGCTTATTGAAATATGGCTTTGACTACCAATTTTCTTTCTGGAAATTATAGGGTTTGGCAATTATTGAAGTGAGAATTAGTGAGGTGCTGCTCTGTTTAACCCAAGTTTTCCCTACTACAGCTTAAAAGCCATTAGTTCTTATTCTGTCTTCTTGACTAATGAGAATAATTCATTCCTGTCTTCTTTTTACATTATACATTTATGTATTTTTGTCCATTAAGCTTTCCCTTTTAAAGTGATGTTTTCAAGAAATGCCATATTGATCATCTGTGAGTAGAAGTTCATGATTATACTAATATGAAGAGGTGAGTAACCTTATTTCTGGGTCATTAAACCAATCAGTAGAATTGGAATTAGACAAACAGATCTTTCCCATCTCTAACTTTAGTGTGTCTATCAAATTGAGACAAAATGCTTTGCTTAATCCATTTCATCTACCTCCTTAGTCACTAAATATAGAATTTTCTTTATAGAATTTTTGAGCAAGAAGTATCATTTGAAACTGTGCAGCCCAGTTTCATGATTTTACGGATGGCCTAAGATGGGTAAGTTCTCTTTAGCCCTGAGTTTTCTGACATGCCAGAAATATTTTCCTCCTCCTTCTTTATATGGCTGCCATATCTTACCTTTAAGGTCTCAGCTGAAAGCTGAAATGTTAAATGTCATGACTTTAAAAAGACCTTCTCTGACTCTCTTGAGAAAAATATTTGTCCTTTTTCTATCACTGCATTTTCTTGATTTTTCTTCCTGGAACTTCACATATGAATCACAATATGCTGCATTCTTACTTATTTTCTGCCTTTTCTGCTACACTGTAAGGTACATGAAAGCACGGTTGGTGATGTGATGCTTACCACTATGTACCCAGTGCCCCAGCAAGATGCTTGGTACTGTGTAGGCACTGGGTTTGAGAGCTGAGACCAGAACATACCTTCTTTCCTTGCACACGCGCACGCACACCCCTACCCCTGAGATAAATCAGCACCATTGTTTACTTAAAATTCTTGATCATGTGATTGCCATTACGTTTTTGCTGGTGGTGTTGCAGCTTTAGTCTGCATGGGAGTTCTTATGTTTGTGTTATGTGGAAGAAACTAGTGCAGGCATGCAGAAATCATTAGCTAGAGGGCCTGGAAGCAGAGTGATCACTTTTTACTTCTTCCAAAAAGGAAATTTAGGTTCTGAAAGTGGAAAATGCATGGTAAGCTAAAGAATTGGCTTGCAGAACAATAGGTAGGCATACTTATGGAATAAGCTGAAACCAGTTACTGTAAGAACCTGGTTGCAATAAGAAATTATGCTGAGTCATAGTTTGCAACTGTGGTGGAAAATAGGATCGCCTATAGAGCTTCTGAAACATACTGATGCCCTGGCCTTCCCTAGGATCCATTGGATCAGAAACTCCAGTGATGGGCCCTGGGCATGTATATATTTTAAGCTTGCCACTTGTCATTCTGTTGATTCTGTCGTATACCAGAATTTAGAACAAACTAGAGAATGAACTTTGGTCGTGGATAACCAAATTTGTGTTTGGTGTGTTGAGTATTTTCTTTTGAAAATCAGTAAGCTAGTCACTACAGTGGCTGAGAGATTATGCATGATATTTAATTTTATTGATTGCTATGATTTAACCATGTCCCCAAAATGCGTAGGTTGAAAACTGAATCCCTAATGCAACAGGATAGGGAGGTGGGGCCTAATGGGAGGTGTTTAGGTCATGAGGAATCCACCATCATGAATGGATTAATGCTGATTATAAACGGGCTTGAGGCTGCAAGTTCTATTATATTGTGTGCTCTCTCTCCCTCTCTTGCCCTTCTGCCTTCTGCCATGAGACGATGCAGCAAGAAGGCCAGATGCCAACACCTTGACATTGGACTTCCCATCCTCCAGAACTGTGAGAGTTTTACTTTCTTTATAAATTACCCAGTCTGCGATATTTTGTTATAGCAGCATAAAACGGACAAAGACATTAATTAAAGATATTTTGTAGATAACCATTGATAGTATTACATTAGTCTACTGTCTGTGTATTTGGTTATAGAACAATAAGGAAAATGGTTCTGACTTATTTTAAATGTGGTCCATCTACATAGTAATTCTGTGGCCGCAATTACTTTTCTTGAAATGTGCCAATTGTGCCTTCATGTAGTTTTGTCACCTCCCTCCACCCACTCACCATATGCATTCCTTCTACTGTTTTAAGTCAGGTTTTAGGGCCTGTCTCCTTTAGCAAGTTTCCATAAACAGTTCTATCTATTGTTCTTAAGCACACTGTTAGTCAAACTGGTGCCTATTTACCTTTGTAAATTGCAGTGTCTTATTATGCACATACTTCTATGCAGCTACTTCTATGAGCTGCATTATTAGTCACCATGTCTACTTCAATAGGAGTTTAGTGACTTTTTAATATGAATTGCAAGGATCCAAGGTCATATGGACTCAGCTGGTGAATGTCCAGTAAATACTTGTTGACTAAGTGAGTGGCCAAGCCATGCTCATTCCAGGCAAGCTTTTTCACAAGGGTAAGTTAAAAAAAAAGGGGTGAGGGGAAGATTTGTTGGCAGTTTGTTTCTGTGAAATAAAAATGAAATAGAGTTTTCTTTTTTCTTGTGGCCGATTTCCTTTCACAGGTTTCTTTACGAACTGGCCAGTGGCCAACTTTGTCAGAGCTGAAACAACAGACAGCTAGAAGAGAGGTTCTCTGTTGATAAATATTTGATTTCCAAGGTATTGAGAGGTTTGAAGAAATGGAGGGGAGTTTGCCTAATGGGAGTTGTGTTTAATATAGTGAGGAAGATCACCAATAACCAGGGCTGTTTTTCTTTGCAATGGCCAGTGGGTACTAAGTTTACCAGCCTCGTTGCACTACAGATTGTGCTGGACTGAGCTGACAGCTAAGCAAAACTGAGGAGGACTGGGATGCTCTTGGTTCCACAACAGAAATACAGCTGAAGGGAATATTCTTAGATTTTCTTTTCTTCTTTTCTATAACCTGTGATAAATATTGTATGTCTCAGCAGCATAGGGGAAAAATGATTGATCCTTTCTCAGTGATATAGCTATGTGGCCGTATATGTTATATGCAGAATGAATGATTGAGAACGAAAGCGGGGAGGGGGGCATGAGAGAAATGCAAGCCACTATGTATAGAATTGCCAATAGCAATCTATCAAAGGAATGTCAGGAGTGCTAGAATAGTTGGTGGATTTTATCTCTAATTTAATCATTTTTTGTTTTTCTGTTATCAAAGTTTTGTTTCTTTTTAAATTTTACTTCTCATTCCCTCCCCAAAAGTTCCAAAGAAGTACTCATGATTAGGAAAAGAGTAATAAACTGATGGAACCAAATGCTTAAGAAAAAAATGTACTGCCTTTTATATACACCATGAATCTTATGTATAAAGATAATCCTTCTGATCCAGCACCACACATTAAGAACATTGCACTTTAAATTATTTTCCCCCACCATGGGAATAGTGCAGACCACCCATTCTCAATGGGGACAATATTGCCATGAAGGAAGAAGTAAAAATTGATTTGGAGGGAGGGGAGGTGAAATAATTAGATCTCATTATAGTTTATGGCTCTCAAATGAGCCATAGTACATATACAGATCCACAGTATCTATCTTTTACTTCAGTCTCTCCTTACAACAACAGCTTTAACTATGGAAATTTTTCTTTCTGGTTGTATTATTTTGGAGGATATTTAACCAGGTGATTTTACGAGGACTTTGCTTTGTAGGAAACTTAGTTTCAAGACTAACAGCTAAATGAAAAAAGAGTCTGTGTAGGCTAGTGGGCATAAGTCTGACTTCTTCATAGATTATCTACCTGTTAGTCTCCCTGAACTGTTAGAGAGTGTGGGAATGTGGGCGGAAGATGTTTACTACAATTTTCGAAAAGTGTGCTACTCTCTGATCATGAATACTATATAAACATTGAAAGGTAGTTAGTAATGTACTTGGGTCTGTTAATCCAAGCCATGAAAAGAGTTTATGAGTTCTCACCAGAACATTTATTTCTTTCCCTCCACATCTCCATAGTATGAACATTATTCAGTATCTGTTTATGAAGAGTCTTGTTTGCTTTGCTGGTATTATCTGTGTCTATTGTGTCTTTCCATCTAAATTGTATACTCTGAAAGAGAAGAACCCATGTAGAATCACAAAGCATTAGAGGAAAAGGAAGGGAACTCATTTCTCAAAAAGCCAAAATTCACTTGTTAGTTTGTTCATTCAGTCATCATTCAACAAATATTTATTGCACACTTAGCACATGACAGGCTGTCTTGGTTTGTTTTCTGCTGCTATAACAGAACACCTGAGACTGGGTAATTTATAAAGAAGATAAATTTATTTGGTTAATGTTTCTGGAGGCTGGCAAGTCCAAGATTGAGGTGTTATATCTGATAAGGGCCTCCTTGCTGCATCATCCCATGAGGGAGGGCAGAAGGGCAAGAGAGCAAGCTTGAGAGAGAAAGAAGAAAGGGCCAAACTCATCCTTTAATCAGGAACCCACTCCTGAGATAACTAACCCACTTCCTTGATAACGGCATTAATCCATTCATGAGGGCCGAGCCTCATGACCTAATTGTCTCTTAAAAATCCCATCTCTCGTCAGTGGCTCATGCCTGTAATCCCAGCACTTTGGGAGGCCAAGACAGGTGAATTGCTTGAGCCCAGGAGTTTGAGACCAGCCTGGGCAACATGGCAAAACCCTGTTTTTTTAAAAAAAAAAAGCTAGGTGTGGTGGCACATGCCTGTAGTCCAATCTACTCAGAAGGGTAGGGTGGGATATCACCTGAGCCTAGGAGGCAGAGGTTACAGTGACCCAAAACTGTGCCACTGCACTCCAGCCTAGGTGGTAGAGCGAGACCCTGACATACACACACACACACACACACACACACACACAGAAGAAATACCACCTCTCAAGAATATTGCAATGAAGATTAAGTTTTCAACACATCAGCTCTGAGGATACATTTAAACCATAGCACAGACACTGTGCTGGAACTTTTAGGGATACAAATGTAAATTAGTCATCAATTTATCATGCTTTTAGAGAGCTTAAAGTTCAGTAGTAAGAATAACACACTTTTGTGTGCCTTCCACTTGCCTAAAATTTTTTTTCCTAATGGCTGCCTATTGAATAGATCATGATTTGTTTAATTATTGTCTTATTATTGGTCTTTTAATTCTTCGTTATAAACAATACTACAAGGAACAAACTTACACGTAAAACTTAATTAGTAAATTTGAGACAAAGTCTTGCGCTGTCACCCAGGCTGGAGTGCACTGGCACGATCTCGGCTCACTACAACCTTTGCCTCCCAGGTTCAAGCGATTCTCCTGCCTCAACCTCCTGAGTAGCTGGTATTACAGGCACCCACTACCATGCCCAGCTAATTTTTGTATTTTTAGTAGAGATGGAGTTTCACCATGTTGACTAGGCTTATCTCGAGCTCCTGACCTCAAGTAACCTGCCCGCCTTGGCCTCTCAAAGTGCTGGGATTACAGGCGTGAGCCATCATGCCTGGCCAGTAAATTGTTATTTCTATTATAATTTTCTAGAATTTGAATTACCAGTCTTAAAAGTATAGTCTTTAAAATGTCTTGATTTTAATGCTATTTTTGTATTGTTCTCCAGCGAATTTTTACCAATTTGCACTGCTGGTAGCAATGTGTGAATGTGACTATCTCACTGTACTCTCTCACTGGCATTGAGTATTGTGAAATCTTAGTTAATTTAATACAAAGGAGAAAAAATGTTATTTGAAGCAAAAGATGATTACAGCAATTTATACTTTTTTAAAGGAGGTAGCATAATTCAAAATAATGAGAAAACAAATATCTAAACTACTCCATTCCTTTCAGAGAAACTTGTGGAATTGATAGAAGAGCAAGGCAGGAAATTTCAAAGTTTCTGTCAGTTCAATTTTTCTGTGCTGAAGGTGGGACACAGAATAGAGATTTATTATTTAGGGGAAAATATCAGTGACTCAGGATGCCTTGAGCCAACTAGGGGGTAGAAAACTGCAGGATAAAAGGAGAGAACTTGAGTTTTTGATATGAGTAGGAGATGGGAGGGTGGTGGTGCAGGCAAGTCTGAGGAGAGGAATTCCAAAACAGAGCGGCTAGCAGTTTCTAAAGGAAGTAGGGAAAAATAGTCAACCTCTCTGTCACCATAAACCTTTGGAAAGTCTGTTCTTGATATGGAAATTAAGGAAGAGATATGTTCCATGTCTGTGACATCGTTTCCAAAGGACATTTCACCTTGTGAAATGGCGAGATGCTCCATTTATACTCTGAACTCATGGACCCAAAGTGGAATAAGATTTAGAAAGAGTTAAAGTGATTCTGAAGAGCTCTACAGGCATTAGGAAGGAGTCAGGCTTTCCTCTCTGAAAACTAAATTGGGTTATATTTTACAGGTATTTAAAGTTGGATATTTTTTATTAATCATGAGGCTGAACATTTTTTTCAGATGATTTAAATTTATTTTTTGGTTGTTCATTTTTTCTTCTGTGAATTGTCTACTCAGATCCTTTGCCCCTGGCATTTGCACCTTACATGAAAATATTGTACCTGGGATGTATGGGAATAGGATGAAACATATTTCTCTTATGTCAAGACCAAAATAGTCTTTATAATGTAAATAATATTCGGTCAATAACACAACTCTGGATGGTCTTCCCAGAGGACAAGGGCTAAGGAACACTTGTGCCATTGTGGGTCTCCAACAACTATTTGTTGAATGTGTAAGATAACTACCTTGAGTCTGCTGCTTGCCTCTTGGTAAGAAAAGGCTAGGAATAGCCCACTTAGAATCCAGTAGAAATCTTGTCTCTACCAACTTCCTCCAGAAGCATGATCTCTTAGTTCCAAATTGGC